AAAAGTCAAAACAAGCTAAATCAACCTAAATGAGAGTTGTCGTACTCCTTGACATAGATATAAAGAGGGATTTGATCGAAACTCACACGAAGATATTATGATTTTACAAAATCCTGTCGTAAAATCTCGTCGCGCACCTGACATCGGATTCAATCAGATTGCGAGTGATGTGACCAATTGGGGTAGTGACAAGTGGCCTTCTCTGGATCGAGCCACCATGATTATGTGCAATGTGTATATATATATATATATATATATATATATATATATATATATATATATATATATATATATATATATATATATATATATATATTTGTGTCACACGCATCCAAATTCCATGCCTATTAATAGAAAGCAATATAGATCGTTTTGGCATACCATTCTATACAGCTCTCTATGCATCTCTCGAAGTGGTAGCCGTCCTAGGCGATCCCGGAGTTCAAAGCCCGATTCAAGCCTACACCAACAGTCTCATACGACTAGGGTGATTTCACGACCCTGCCATTTTACTATATGAAAAGTTTTACGGAAGGGAGGGGGAATACATGCTTATCAAACTGCATTATCAAAATATATTTATATCTATAAATATCAATCGTTATATAAAACATCAAACCTTAGGATAATGTAGCTATTGGCATTATACCTAGTTGTAAGCATTGATATTATATCCAAGAGTTATAATGTCCGATAGTTTAGAAAGAGATATTACCTAAACTTTATAATGATCAACTTCCTAAGATAATGTAGTACTTAGAAGTAATGTTGGTCAAATGTAGGGAAATATACTTTATGTAATCGTTATTGTGTCCAAATATCAAATTTTCAAATCAACCATAATTAGGGTTATATATATATATATATATATATATATATATATATATATATATATATATATATATATATATATATATATATATATATAAAAGATAATAATGAGATAAAAATGGTATAATAATCAAATTTAAAATTAAAAGGGTTTATATTATGATAGTTATAGGAAACCACTAACAAAACAAAAATCATTTTTAAAACACCACAACACTAAAAAAATAGTATTGTAACACATGTTTCCTTGGTATACGTATTAATTTTATGAAATAAGAAAGTGAGTTAAGATTAATTGTGATTAAACATTAATCGGCCATAGTGGGTTGGGGGTTGATGTGTTTCGGTGTAAGTCGATTGCATTCCACATAATGGTCTATGTAATGAGCCACATAATATTTGCACGCGATTTGGGTAGATAAAACTAGGGGTGTTCGTGGTTCGTTTTGAAACCGTGAAACCCGCCAAACCGATCATCGATTGGTTTTATGGTTTTTATTTTTCTTTACGGTTTGACTTGCGGTTTCTAACATTTAAAACCGTTTAAAAGCCGGACCGGACCGTAGGATTTGTATAGATATTAATTAATTTTTTTATATGTAATTGTATTTTGTTGTATTATATATTAATTTTTATACACAAATAATAAACTTTAAAACGAACAATATTTAATTATTGTAGTTTTTTAACAGTATTAGGCAAATTTTGTGCTATTTTTACAACTTTAATATTACAGTTTTTTTAACAGTATTAAGCATAATTTTTTCATGTTTTGACAGTTTTAATATTACACTATTTTTAACAATATTTGGTAGATTTTTAACTGTTTTAATACCTTTAATAGTGTTGTTGTTTTTGCTAAATTAGTTTAATGTACTTGACTAAAATGAATCTAAAAAGTTCAAACCGTGAAATCAAACTTCAGTCAAACCATTACTAATGGTTTTATTTGGTTTGGTTTTAAATATTCAAAGGTTAGGTTTCGGTTTTTGTTTGATAAAAACCGTTAGTAACGGTTTGGCTACGATTTGACCTAAAAAACCAAAAAAATCGGATCATGAACACGCCTAGATGAAATCGTAAATAAAAGTTATTATTGATTAAGTTATTTTTTTAAAACAAAAAATTTAAAAGCTCATTAGTAAATGGTGTAAAAGAAAAGAAAGTAGCTAAATATATCCTAATAAATCAAAATCATTTTTGTCAAATATCATGATCTCATTGCATATAACACACGTTTTGTCATAAGATTAAAATATTTATTTTATATTTGTCATTTACTTTGTTTTTCATTTTCCAATATATCATTAATTTTGGTTTCATAAATTAAATGTATCATAATAATTATATTAATTTCAAGTTTCATATTTCATATTTAATTTCAATTTCTAATAAATTTACATTTGACCTTCGTAATTAACATTTTGTTATAGTAAATCCCTTTAATATACGAGTATCATAATTAAACACGTAATTTTAATTTATTTTTTTCACATGATTTGTAATTTTTTTTTCTCATACTTTTCATTTATTTCAAATTTCAAATTGAAATAAAATTTTCATTACTCATTGGTATCTAAAATTTTGTTTTAATCAATCCATATATTATATAATATTCACAACTAATATAACTAAAAATATAACTTGATACCCACCTAAACTATATCCTAAAATAACAACTTATAAAAATAAAAATACAACCATTTATTGTTAAACTGCTAACAGTTAACCCTTTTGTCTCTATTTAGTTTGGAGAATCTGATGAGATCCAAAGTGGACAGGAAAGTCAAGCTCCAAACCGAACCTCAACCGGTTAAAAAATATCAAAACGAATCCGTAAAACTTCTACAAGACGTTCGGAAGGTTGACCCGGTCTTCCCAATCGGGTCCTTTTATCAAAGTATTTCTATTTCATCTACTGAAAGATTCCACGGTAGTGGTAGTAGTTGAAAGGCCAGCCTCACTTTACTTTTACACACTTTGACGTACCCATTGCCGTCGTCGTAATAAATTGGGACCATTCAACTCCTCTCATTGACTCCTTCTCCTTATAAACCATTCAAAACATTCGATATCCTAAGTGGGTTTATGTCTTATGATTGTCGTTGAGCTTCTTCAGTGAATCAATGGCGAGCTCCAGCTCACTAACCATGGTTTTTGCATCGGTTTTCTCCTCCATGTTACAGTAACACCGAAGAACTTACCAGCAACTTGATCGACTGTGCTCTCTACTTCTCTGTGAGATACAGTGTTTAATGCATTTAGGGTTTTGGTTGCTTTGGATAGTTTGGAATGAATTTCATCTGGATCTTTGTGTTTCTTTAATCTTGACTTGTTGTGTTTTAATTCAGGATCAATCAGGGATAACCTTTTTTGAAAGATGGAGAGTATTGCTCTTGAACTTGTGGAATATCCATCTATAAGTACATGGAAAGTAAGTATTCAATTCTGTATATCCCTTATGAGCTCAAATATATACACCCTGCAAATAATATTGAATACTTTACTTTCGAATTTAGTGAAAGAAAGGGTTGATAGCATCCTAGTGTAATTTCTTTCTAGTAGAACATTGTATGCTTAAAAATCTATCTATTTTATAACAAAGTCTATCTAAATACAAACCGATTAATGCTATTGTAACTTGGTAGTGTTTTCAAAGTGTAGTGTGTTGATAAGAAAAATTAAATTTATAGTGTTGTTATTGGGTAGATTATCCAAAGTATAATATCTTTAAAAAATGAATATACGAGTCGTAATAGAAAATTTTGAAAATGAAATATTATAATAATATACAAAAGTATGTTACTTTTTCTCGTATTTAGCCTTTTAGTATAAAAGTTGAACATGTCAACTTCAAGAATAATACATGTGTTTCTTTGTGACAAAAGCTAATCTCTCTTATATATGAAAAAAATAAATGGGTTTTAATTGGTTTGTTTATCTTGAAATAGTTTAAATCAATAATTGAGTAATTGACAATGAGTTGATATTTCCTTTTGGGATAATGGACATGGAGCCCATTGAAACTTTTAATGACTCTCATTTAGTCATCCTTCTATGCAATTTTGTCATTTATACAATTATACCAAATCCAATGAAAATAATCCAAAATGACAAATGGATTATTTATATTTATTTCGCGCAATACACAAAAATATAAACCTTTGGTTGCAAGAGTTGTACTACACAGTTCCTTACACATAATATTACACAGTTCCTTAGCACATGATATGAAATTTTAATATTCAAGATTATCTCCAACTTACATCATTTTCTGGTATAATGTTCCAATGATTTTATTTTTTTGTAACTTACGTACATTTAAAAAAATATTCTTATGTTCATTAGGTTTTTAAAGATTTATCTTACATCGTTTTCTTTACAATAACTTCATAAGTTATACCATTAAACAATTATAACTAAACAAATTATTCACACATAATTAAAACAAATTAGCTATTATATTATTTAAACAA